TTGACCATGGACAGCTGGGCAGGGATGGGGCTGCTGCTGCTGTGTGAGCGGGCTGCTCTGCCCTGATAAGAGGTTATCAAGATGCAAGGAGGAGGCCAGGAATTACAGGCCCGCCACTCGCTGTCAGAGAGCAGCACAGACGTACCCAGACCTACAGGACGTTGCAGCATGTCCGTGGTCATGCCATGTAACTCCCATAAGCCTGTGTGAACACGTATAGACACACACACACACACACACACACACACACACACGATACGCCGGCTCTGTTGACAGAAGCAACTTGATCGGACACTGGAACGTCTTGTTGGACAGTTGGGAGGTTATGTGGGCACTGTAGCTAAGTGATGGATGGTGTTGTGTGTCACCAGTGGACTTTGGGGACAGCTTTCTAATTCCCAAGAAACAGGCTTCTGGGTAGGCGGTAGTCTTATCTCTGCCATGCAGGGCTGCAGTGACATGCCCATGAGAGCTCTCTCTCTCTCTGTCTGTCTGTCTCTCGCTTTCTTTCTCTCTCTCTCTCTCTCTCTCTCACACACACACACACACACTCCAGAAATCTTTAACTTTACTCCCTTTTCTCAGCAGTTACATTTTTCAAGTCAGCAAAGAATACTTGTGATTTTATTGGATGATCAGCACATAATATAGTGTGATAGCGGTGTTTGTGTAATGACTAATGAAGCTGGTTGAGTGGCCAAAGCTCAGCAGTTTAGGGCCACTCACTGTGATATTGTAGCTTTTTATATTACTGATTTTGTGTAATCTCAGTTTTCTGCAGCACCTCTGACACTCTCCTCAGGACACATATACAAACCCTTCAGTGTATGCAGTTCTAGTTGCTTTACTCTCCTTCTTTTGACTTCCATAATTTGTTTATTATAAGCATTTTTACTTTAGTGCAGCTGCCTCTTTTAATTTCTTGTTGCACTCAAGTGTTTTATTGACCGTTCTTCATATTTTTCTCTATTTTTTTCATCCACATTATATTTTATGACTTGGGTATTATATTATAAGAAGTGTTGTTAAAATCATGTTATTCCATTTTATCTAACAGTTCTGAATTAGTCTTAGCTCTTCGTTACAGTTGTAGGTTATTTACACTGAGTAAAACATTTAAACACAAGAGTCTCTGTATTATATCAAATGGAAATATTGTAGATACATGGTTTTATCCCCATTTTAACCAAAATATAGTAGTCACATTTAGCATATTTGAAACCTTTGGTATTCCCATTATAATTGATAAAGATATAAATAATTAAACCCATTTCTGTTGGTTCTATCAATGTTTGGCTGCAGGATGAGTATTTGAACTGACTGCATATACAGGATTTGTTTGTATAGAGCACAGTAACCTGCCGTTTCAGTACAGAATTCTCAAATAGATGTTTGCGTATTATCATACTAAAGATTTGAAACTATGTCCAATATATTTTTATTTTAAAGGAAATTAATTTCAACCCATTACTTCTCTGATTTTGACGGAAAGATAACACAATTGTAAGAAAGGTAAGTAGGTGCTGTGTTTTCTAGTTTGTGTGGTGGATGTTCTGTGCATTTAATTTAATACTGAGTATCCTTAAATAACACAGCTTCAGGTTCAGTTGAAAAACCAGATTGTGCAATATAGTAAATCACCAGGCATATTGCAGATAACAGCACCTGACAGCTACATCAGAAAGGAAATCTTAGAAGAAAAGTGACTCTCCTGGGGCCTATACTGCCCTCTAGTGGTACATTTAGAAAGTACTTACAGTACATTTCTTCTCAGTAGCATATCACATATTAAATAAGGTTTTGATTTTAAATCCGAAGGAACAAAACAAGTCAAGTAGGCTACAGCTTTTTAACTTCACTTTTGAAAATATGGGGAGTGTTTATTCTATTTATTTACGTATTTATTCTAAATGCACAATTTTATACTCTATGATTTTATAAAATAGTTTCCGGTCTAATTCAACTTTGACCTCTGATCTTAGCTGCGTCTCACATATGATGCTTTAAAAGCATACGCCATCAAAATGTTACGGTGTCCGTACTTTTTTTGAAAACCCCGAGGCCATGCTCAGTGGTAACTGGGAATTTGGGGAACCATATGAGTTTACAAAATGTTTAATCAATCACATGTATTTAGGTATTTGGCTTATTCTAATATTTTAGACGTGCTGTTTAAATTGTACTACCTGTAGACCAACGGAAAAATGAGGTGTCCCTTTATTGCTCTCAGTAGAGAGAATACTTCTTATTTGTACATTAATTTTAGCCTATGAACAGCTGAATATTTACCGCTATTATTAATTAAAAATTACTGTAACTGATACAAACGCATCAAACTAACGAGGCGCCCTTGAAGGCAGCAGCGGAGACACTGCGGTGGGAACAAACCTGAGGCCACCTGAGCAGGGGCGAAGGAAAAGGTGCCGTTACCCTGAAAATAATCGTCATAGGAAGCTCCGAGTGTCTTCCTTAAGTTTATGAAACACTTTCACTGAGCCTAGTGTACTGTAAAACTGAGGTGTAAATCCGAAAGGACAGTATTAGAAGTAAACGTTTTGTATTTAGCGGCGCTGTGAGACAGAGGGAGAATTGTCAAGACAGATTTAAGCGGAGAGAGATTTGAGTGTGTTGTGCCTTTATCTTGTACCTGCTGTGCTTGTGTTTACTCGGGTTGTGAATCACCGCTTCACCAGCATGTCCCGGGCCACGATAGGGACGGACTTCCTCTCTAATATTGTCATCATAGATGGGGGCACAGTCACCTTGCAGGTAACTCATTTGTCCACCTGTCCAGCCACAGGGGCACACAGGCCACCTGTAGGAGCATGCTCCCATACCCACATCTAGTCTGGGCTACAGAGTTGATGGAGCCTTGAATCCTTAGCACCATGTTTCCCTGTGTGTCCAGGACACAGCAGATACAGAGAGGTTCCAGTCTCTGGGGACCCCACTGCTGCATGATGGTGTTTGATGTCACATCCAGGCCCAGTTTCTTGACCCCGAAGGAGCGGAGGAAGGAGTTCTAGAGTGAGCTCCGGGATGCAGCGGACTTCCCTTTTATTGTACTGGGCAACAAGACTGACCTGAGCAACCAAGAGGTCAGCCAAAAAAAGTTGATAAAGAGTTTATTTGCATGAATCATTATGGTTTCAGGAAAAGCCAATCAAACACCCTTTTTAATCAGTATGCCCCACTAAAATCCACACTGATGAAACATATTTTCTTACTGAACAATGAAATGAGAGAATAAATTGGTGGTGGTGGGCAAATTATAACATTGGCCATGACAACATCAGCAGTGCAGACGCTGACTGGGTGATGATGTGACATTGTTTGACTATGCAGCCAAGTCATGAAATAACTGGTCTGCAGCTAAGCCCAGAATTTATAGACTACACTAATGTCACTTGTTGGGCACTAAACATAAAAGTGTATATGCACATAAAATATAATAGTGTAAAATGTTTATGAGACTGTCACACAGGTTAGGATGTCTGGAAGTAAAAGTCAGAGGGAGGTGGAGTCGCTGTTTAAATTATGAGGCTGTTTTGCAGCACATCCAGGAGATGTTTGACCCAGTACTTCCAAATTTGAAAGCGTAAAATATGTTTAACACAATGAGCTTGAAGGATGTAATGAATATTAGAAGTCTGTAGCAAAACAGAAATCCTGAACAGTCGGTTGACTGAAGCGCCCCTGAAGAGCGATTTGAGGTTTCTTGTGAAGACAGATTTCACACGGCTGGAATTTAAAGAGCTTATTAATCGATTAGTTGATTGACATAAACATAACCAGCAAATATTCTGCTAACTGATTAATAACTAAAGTCATTTTAAAAGTACAACATTTGAATCATTCTCTGGTTGCAGCTTCTCCATTGTGAGGATCTGATGCTTTTCTGCTTCACATCATTGTGAACTGGATATCTTTGGAGACCTTTGAAGATGTTACCTTGGAGTTTAGTAATTTAAAAAAACTTTATTATGATATTTTAAAGACTAAAACATTAATGGATTAATTGGGAAAACAGTTGGCTCATTAATCAATATAAAAAATAAATGTTGGTTGCAGCCCCCATCACAACATGTGATTTCCAGGTAATAAGCATTTTTAATTGAAATGATATCAACTAATCCAGCAGCACTTGTTTTACTCTGCCCAGGACACACAGCCTCTAACAACCAGGCCTGAGTATGGTGCCACTCACTAGCAGAGCAGTGGCCTGTAGTTCTTGCTGCTCCAAAAGCTTGACTGAAATGTACTTAACTGAAAATAGAATTTTATAATATATTGAAAATGTACAAGGAAAAGCTTCTTAGTTCCAAGGGTGGATGTTATTTTCCAGGGCTGAAGCTTGTGGCTTTTCACAACACATATTGTTTCTGATTTTATTGGAGGACTAGATTTGTGACTTGAAATCATTTTGCGGTCGCTTTATTCCACAGAATATGCCCTTTGCTGTCATGTCTCTACTGGTTGATGCTTGTACTGACAGTGTTGTCTTTTCTTGCAGGTGTTTGGCAGGATGGCCCTGCAGTGGTGTGAGGAAATAGGAGCTGACTACTTTGAAGGAAGTGCCAAAAAATGACCTAGACGCAGTTCTTGAGCACGGCTCAGTGCAGGCTTACAGCAGGTGACTCACTGCACTGCCAGACTCTGAGAAGAAACACACAAAGTCTCTATGTTTAACATGTTTATTTTCTTGATGATAAAAGATACATTACTCCCTACAGTACAAAAAACACACATTGGAAAATACAGGACATTTCCAGATAACCTGCAAACAGCCGGGAGAAACTTGCAACACCTGTGAGTGCTGAGAGCAGCACTCGTCCCAGCGTGGGAGGGAAAGTTCAGAGACCTCGGCACTGCTGATGATGACCTATCTAACGAGGGTGCAAAAATAGTGACCCAGCAAAGGTACTGTGGAAGGAAAGGACACAATTGTATACCACATGGAGAGGAACAAACTCATTAAATGTCTTTTTTTTTTTTTTGAGAACCTTCAGCTTATGGTCTAACTTAAGGCATCACTACTAAAATACACTGCTTTTGCATGCATGTCTAGTTTTGTTCAACAGACACACTGACACGCACAAAATTATGAATGCATATGAAGAGAAACTTCATTTCTAGAAAGAAACAGGAGAAACCACAAATGGAAACCAAGGTGAGAGCCAGAGAAAAGGCGGCATGGGGAAACCTTGGTTCCAGTCTTCCTTCCTGGCCGTTACCATCACAACTGAATCTGCCCTTACAAAGTAGATATACACCCATGTCCAGTCAGAAACCTCCTCCCTGTACAAGTCTGTATTGAAATGAACCTAGCAGTGATTCAGACTCCTACAGTGAATCAGCTTGACAGAAGCAAATCAGAACAATCAGGGAGACTATATGTATTTATATATATATATTTTTCTTTTATAAGTAAAGACACAAAAGGCAATCAAGAGATGACCAACATGTAAAAAGTTTGTTACAGGTAATTATATAAAAGGCCAAGATGTTTTTTGTTTGTTTTATTTTTGCTCTATGAATGAACTAATTTACATGTGAGTACACTCCGGCTATGTCAACTTTCTTCCCAAGACATCCTCATTCAAAGACATATGGGTTTTACAGGTCACAGTTAGCTCGCACACCATCTGTAATCGCAAATACAGAGCCGTGGAAAGAAAAATTAAAATTTATTAAATGGGTTCACATACAGCAATAGAATAGGGAAAATAGGTCTACTAATATTTGCCATTCTAAAAATTAAAGAATAGATGAGACACCACATTCATGGGCATAACAAGCGCAAGACAACTGATCAGGATATTGAGGGGTATCAAATGAGCTGATGTTATTTTCTGCATTCCATGTATGGCAAACAAAACAACACAGGCATTGAATAGTAAACAAAGTAAAAAACTCTCCCTGGGTCCACTTCAAAGTTCCTCAGTCCTTTAACCTCTGCTGTTCTAAGTGGAACAAATACAAAAGCCTCTTCTCTTTAACTGCCATCTTAACAAGAACATATGGCCAACTGAATGAAGCTTGTTAAAAATATTGTGGAAACCTCAACACAGCCACTCATCTTCCCATGAACACAAACTATGGGGATGAACAACAGTTTAAAAAAAGTGATGCTTTTAAAAATGCACACAACATACACATCCACACAGGAGGGGACAAAAGCTTAAAAAATACAAAAATAAACTACACAAAAGATCTTCTGCGACATTTCTTGCTAATTTTTTGGGAAGATTTTGCAAGTTTTTTGTGTGTGCTGCAAGTCTCAGTCCTAGCAAAGTCTGTCGTTCACTCTCTACAAATCTTGTCTTCTGTCACTCTTTGTCCACTTCAAAGCGTCAGCCACTAGTCCTTACCTTGGGGTAAAAGCGCACAGTGATGATATTACCAGGAGACGGAGTCCAGTACGATGACTGTACAGACTTGGTTCTTGATGAAGCAAATTTATTTTGAGCAAAAATCAAAGGGGAAAAAATGTCCTCTTTCTTTTTCTCTTTTTTTTGAGGACAAGTGCTTTATTTGTTTCCATACCGATTTTTCCTCTCATCTATACTAATACCTCCACAGCCTTTTTCCAGCACTGTACATCATTTCATGTAGTCTCTCTCTACATCCCCCAGGAGTCACAAAATAAAGACACACACACAAAAAAGGGTAACATTGCGCTCAGGCTGGCTCCCAGTTTGTGAAAAATGCAAATGCTTCTCTATACTGCTCAACTGCTGAAACAAGCCAAAAAAAAAAGATGTTAAAGGATGGAAGGGGATGTGACTGAAAAAGAATGTGCTTCTAAGTTTGTGTTGCTCTAAAAATAGTAAGACCAAAAGAACAAAGGAGAAAGGAGAGTTTTATCTACAGAAATGCCTCTCAGATTGACTTTCATCTCTGCTTCATACGGCTGTTCTGCCTCCATTGCCGTCTTGATCTGAGACTTGAGGGTGGGAGGATGAGATTAGGATGAGGATGAGGAGGTGGAAGAGGGGTGAAGATCACTCTTCCTGATAAAAAAGGACAGCAATTGGAAAAAAGACAAAAGACTGGGAGGGGTCTCTGGGCAACCTCACTGGTCCGTCCTCGCTTTCTTTGGACCAGTAGCCTTACTGCAGGAGGATACACAAAACCAAAATAAGTACTGCATGTCGTATTACCAGTGCCGTGTTAATGCAGAGCCGTGTCACAGTTATGAAAACATGAACACGGTACTTACGTATCAGGAGAGGTGCCTGGTCTTTTGGGGGCTGGTTTTGCAGATGCTGCATCTTTGCCAGATTCTACAAAGCAAAAGAAATTTTTTTTTTTTTAAATCTATCCCTCTATTCATTAATAAAGTGCTCCCTCACTAACATTTAGGCCTTGCCAATTTGCGGTGCTCACCTTGCAGCCATCGAACTTGGGTGGCTGGACCATAGCCCTTCTCGTTGCGGGCAGCAATGCGAAAGATGATGGCTGGCTTGGTAGTGAAGTCGATGTGGGCGTTGGAGAGGCTGCTCGACTGCACCAAGCAAGAGGGGTTGGGTCCACAATACACACGCATGAAGGCTAGCTGGGCCGGAGTGGAGGCCTTGGCTTCGGTTGTCTGGTTGCTCTGGATGGCCAGGTACACAGAGTACTCAATGATCTTCCCTGATGTCACCGAGGGTGGCTCCCAGGTCAGGTGGGCTCCATCTGGGCTCTGTGGACAGTCAACAAATACTAAGTGCCTGAAAACTCATTAGAAGAGCTGGTATTATTGTTATATTCTAAACACCTATATGTCCAGTGACTAGCAAAAGAACAAAATGAGGTTAAATGCTTCAATGGTGCATTTACCTTGCTGATTTTGATGGCGCAAGGAGCCCCTGGGAAGCCTGGTAGGCAGGTCTTGAAAGCAGATATCTCTGAGAAAGCTCCACGACCACAAGCATTGATTCCAGCAACACGGAACTTATAAGCTGTTCCAGGCTGCAGCTCCATCTTCTTCATCTGGCTATAGTCGGGCACAATGCCAGAGTCATCCTACCAAGCAAAAAAGTGATTAGAGATGCCTGGGAAATTCTAATGTACAGTCACATAAACATGAAAGGAGCCAACAGAGACACTTACATCTCCTTGAGAATCATCTGCTGGCACATAGAAGTGGGTGACAACCATATTGGTAACTTTTACAATTCCAACATCAAACCACTGGTTCTCTTTCTTGACAACAGGCTTCACTGGGGCTGGCTGAGGGGCTTGCTTCTGTATGGGGAAAAGACAGTCAGTAAAAAAAAAAAAGACTCATTCTCTCTCTTTGACCTGCCTGAACCAACAAAATGTTCAGTAATAGTACAATGGCTCACCTCTCCCTCAATGCCATTAGCGACTTCTGCTAGAGCAGCTGCTGCTTGCAGCTTTGCTGGACTTGCCACCGATACCGAGGGTGCAAATGTGCTTGATGGAGCAAGTGCTGTGAGTGAAAGAAGCAATAAAAAAGTCAATACTGTACCAAACCACATCCCAAGTAATTCCTAAAAAAAAAAAAAAGCACAAAATCTTACTCTCAGCAGTGGTACGTGGCAGCAGGGATGCTACAGCACTAGTGACTGTGGCAGCCATCTCGTTGTGGCCGTTGCTTTCGACAGAGGGATCGTTGAGGCTATCAGCAGGGGCAAGACCCTCAGTGGGCAAGCTTGTGTCCACGGTGGCCTGCTGGGCTGCAGCCTGAGCCTCCTGCAGCTGCTGCTGCTGCTGCACCAGTGCGGCAAGCTCCTGCTGAGTTAGCATGATGGGGATGTTGGTGGTTTGCTGGCTCTCTCCAGCAGAATCACCTTCATCTGTAAAACAAACAAACAAACAAAAAAAACTTTGTGAATCATTTATACCAAGACTACAGCAGCTTCATGAGAAACAACAACCATTGTGGAGGTTGCGGTAGTTGCAAAGCATGTGGTTCTGCTGAAAACCATAGGGTAGTTAAAAGCTAAAAGAAAAAGGACACATTCTTCAGCAGTCATTGCTTTCTCTACCATTAACTACAGCCAGATCTTGTTCCACGATGCCACTGTTCAAAATCTAAATAAGTCAACTCACTCATTACAGCTTGCTGAGCTGCCTGGAGGACAGCCTGGATAGCGAGGGCCTGGGCTTCTTCAGTGGCAGCTGCCTGAGCAGCGGCCTCTGCTGCTGCAGTCACAGCCAGCTCCTCATCCGACAACCCTGTCACCATGAGTGTGGCCCCCTGACCTTCAGACATCAGCTCTGAGGGCAGGTTAAGGGCTGTTGCTGCTGCTGCCTCTCCCTGAAATAACACAGAGAAGTTCCATCAAATGACTGCAAAAAATGCACTTATACTTAAGAAGTTCATAATATAGCACCAGCACTGGCTTTGTGTGACTGTATACTCCATTTACTTCTGCTTGTGTCTCCATAGCAGCGGCTCCCTCCTCTGCTCTTCTGCTGATGCTGCCTCTTCAGTCTGCATTGGTTCCTCCGTGGAGCTGGAAGCAGTACTCACACCCTCTGTGATTGATGAGATTGACTGGCGAGAGACAACAAAAGGCAAAAACATTTTGAAAACAACTTATCTCTCAAACATTATTGTGATGAATCAGATTCAGTTTTAAGATACATCTGCTGACATTACCTAATCAGCAGTGATCTTCTAACTCTGCCAGTAAATGTGCACTCTTCTTACCGGTACAGATGGTCCAGGGGCTGGTCTTGACTGGGTCACAGTAGTGACAGCCCTGCCCTGGGTGGTGGTGACCAGACCAGTTTCTGCAGTAGAAGAAGCAACTTCTGCACTGCTGGTACCTTCTGCTCCCTCATCTGTCTGCTGGGCTGCTGATGAAATGCAACAACACAATTCAGGTTTGACTTCATATCAACAATTCAATTTCATTTCTTGAATGCAATTACAAGTGTCTACCATTAGGCAAGTCGGCATGTCAAAGTACTTTTGCTGTGTTGTCTGTTAGTAGAAGAGCAAGAACAAAGTGAGATCGTAGACAACTGACACTACATGAAGGATAATTATAAAGGTAAAGATTTTCAATTAACTAGCACAAGGTTCAATCACTTCATGTTGTTTAGTGGGTTGTTCACAACAGAAAAACAAGAAGTATATCCTAGTGAGCTATAGATATGATGATACACATATACCTGTGCCTTCGCCTGTCTCCATGCTGCAGGTAGCAGTGGTGGCTGTGTTGGTGGTCCCAGTCTCGTGTGTTTCACAAGGTGGGTTGGAACACACCCTCTGGACTAGGCCTGTTGCGGTGCTGGTCTGGTCACTGCCCATGTTGGAAGTAGCAGTGGATGGGGTGTTGGTGGTCCCAGTCTCGTGGGTTTCACAACGTAGGTTGGAACACACCCTCTGGACTAGGCCTGTTGCGGTGCTGGTCTGGTCACTGCCCATGCTGGAAGTAGCAGTGGATGGGGTGTTGGTGGTCTCTGTCTCGTGGGTTTCGCAGGGCGGGTGGGAGCGCACACTCTGCACAGTGCCTGTCTGGCCTGTGTTCATGTTAGAAGATGCCTGGGTGGCTGTGTTGGTGGTGCCTGTCACATGGGTCTCACACGGTGGGTTGGAACACACCTGCTGGACTCCTCCTATGTTGGCAGACGATGTGGTAGCTGTGTTAGTTGTCCCAGTCTCGTGGGTCTCACAGGGTGGGTTAGAGCACACCTGCCCTGCTCCAATTGTAGCAGAGGAGGTAGTGGTGGTGTTGGTGGTTCCGGTTTCGTGGGTCTCGCAAGGCGGATTAGAGCAAACCTGCGCTGCTCCGATTGTTGCAGAAGAGGTGGTGGCTGTGTTGGTGGTTCCTGTCTCATGGGTCTCACAGGGTGGGTTAGAGCAAACCAGGGTGACAGTCCCAGAGCCCTCTCCAGCAGGTCCAGGCTCAGTGGAACTGGGCTGCTCAGAGGTTGGTGAAGCCAGGATGGACACTGGTAAATCCTGCACTGGCTGAGCTTCTACTCCACTGGGAGTTGTGATCAGAGTTACCTGGGTGGGCTGGTTCTGGAGAGAGAACAGCAATTTCAGTAATCTAAGTTATACAGCACGTTTCATACCCAAAATTAACCATTTTATTCTAGCAGCCCTGAAGTTTGTAGTCTTTTCTTTTTATAGGTTGTAATGTAGTAATAAAAAGCTTAT